ATGTTCCAAGTAGAAGTTTAGAGAGGGGAATCTCATCAATTGGTCATCAAGACAAAGAAATCATTGAGTTTGAGTATCTTGATGATAGTGTGCTAGAGGAACTTCTTGGAGCAGAAGACCCAAAAAAGATGATAAGAAAGTGAGGTTTATATGTTTTGTAATTTTTAAATTTTAAGTTATCATCGTGTCGAGATAAACCTTTATTACTGGAGGAAAGGAATAGCGATGAATTCCTATATAGAGTATCTAGGAAAAAACCTTCGAGTTTCCCCTCATCTTTGTTTTCTTCTTATTCATCATCGTTGTCTTTTTAATTTCCTTTTATAAACATATTTGGTATTAATTAAGAACTTATTTTGTATAATGTTTGCCTTAAGAGTACGAATTTAAAGGGAATAATTAACATGGTCAACGAAGAGTTGATATAACCAAACCTCTAGTAGAAGTTTCGATCCTTATTCATAAGGCTTAGTGATGGAGGGATTACAAACATCTTATTATTATTTTTTTATGCACGTATCTATCTTTAATTTCTTCTTTTGTTCATACCTTATGGGTTCTTCAATCCCCAAATTTTATTTTATGGAAAAAAATAATCTTGTCATATAAATGGAGTGTTTGACCTATTGGATGCAAATATTATATTGCATTTCCAATTTGAAAAAGCTTTGGGGAATTGAATTATATATTCCACTAAGAATATTTGACTTATATTAGCATATTTAGCTAGAATGAAGGAATGGTCAAATATTTGACTTAGAATATTTAGGATTTGGTTTTTGATTTATCATAGAAGATGAAAAAAACTCGATTCTCACATCGACAAAGAACATAGCAAAATGTGAACTATATCAAGTTTTTTAATGTAAACTGTGTTGGAAGCCGTTAGGTCGAGGGCACATCTGCCTCGACGTTACACATCGGCGTTGCAAGGGGAAAAAAGGCCAAAAATTAAAGAAAGGTAATAAGATGGATAAAAGGAATTAAAAGAAACTAGAAAATAATGAGTATGATCCTGGTACATAACAAATTTAATATGCCACATTTTATGTGAGACTATATGATCATTTAATTGTGGATCAGATTAAAATGTATGTTTGTGGAAAATTACAATAAAATCTTCACTGAAAATTACAACAAAGATTAATGACTATGGAATATGTTTGTGGATAATCACCAATTATGTTTTGTGTGAGATTTTTTATGAGAATTTGTTGTTGTGCAACATGGAACAAGTTTGAGGAGCTGATGTTCAGAAAAAATAGGAGTACTATTACGAGTTTGGAAGAATTCAGATATAGTTAATTTAGCTTGGACTTTGTATTTGTATTATAAAATTCATTTAATATATGTAGTGGTGAATCGTAACTACGACAGATTATGGATTTGATGACAAATTTAGAACAAATAAACTTTAATTAATATCATTATGGACATCATCTTGGACGTTATTGCTTGTGTAGTTCTAGTCTTGCTTACGAGTATTAAAGAAATGGATGAAAGGGGAATAAGGGTATTAAGAAAAGGGATTTTCCAATGATCTAAAATTGCAATTCCTTTTGGGGGCTAAATACATCCGATCTCTACCGTAGGTGCCAAAGAAGAATGAGAAGAAGCCTGAAAAAGAGCAAATTGAGTCATGTCAAGGTTATCCATGTATTGTATTAGCGAGAGGCGAAACCCTTCTTTCTTAATCAGACAATTTCTCTCCTATCATGTATGATTGATCTGTTCATCTTTTTCTTTATCAATTATGTGCGATTGAATTTATGTCATTTGTAACAGGTTACCTCAATAACAACAATAAAAATCTCAACAAGGGTTGGGCCAATAGTGTAGTAGTAACTACTTCTTTATTTTTAATTAAAAGGTCTTGAATTTAAACTCATGACATAAAGTTATCATTATTGGAGAGAGGTTTATCACAATATAAAAAAAATTCGACACAAATTCAGATTAAGTCGAATTTGAATACCACCTACATCAAGAAAAATCTATGTTTTTAGTGAAATTAAAGAAGCTTAGGTTATGTATAAAAAAAATAATGGTAAATATTCTAGAGGACTAGGCAAGAATAAAGTACTAATATAATTAAGGTGAATTTAAAAAAGGCGGAATGACATGAGAGATTCCTCTACTTGGCTCCGTTTGTCAATTGGACCCTCCTACTCATCACTTTGCCAACCAAACCCTTAAACTCACCAGAACACAATATTTTAAACCCTTCTAATAATTGGCCGAGCTTAAGTGACATTAATATTGGTGAGTTGAAAATATGTGCGATTACACGCGCTTGAAAGCGAGTTAAAACAATAGTTTACTTTTAAATAATCAATTTAACAAAATTAAAAAATAAGATCCATCTTCTTCAACCCTCCTTCACCCACACCCACCCTTTCTTCTTCTCCACCAGCCCTCTCTCCTCTACCCCTCACCACAACCCTCAACTTTCTTCTTTCTCCAGCCAATTCTTCTTTCTCCATCCCCACATTCACTCTTCTCCGCCTCTTATTCTTCTTCTTTTCCTTATACAAATCAGTAGCCTCAACTTCTTCTAAAATTTTCGTTTTTTAGGTTTGAAAAATATTAGTATCATTCTTTTATTAGATGGTTTCAACGAGGAGATGTGGATAATGTGATGATGATTGTGACTATTGAAAATTTTTAAAACTCCATTAATAAGCTTGAAAAAACTTTAAAAAATAATAAATGGGTCTTGTGAATTTGTTAAATTAATTAAAAAATTTGATTGGGGTTCATTGAGTTTGTGTTGGTGAACTTGTAGTTGAATTTACAAGTTAAATCAAGAAGAATTTGATCTAATGGGTATGAATCTGGTGCTCAATTTGTGACCAAATATGAAGAAGATGACTATTTGAAAAGTTTAAGAAATTAAATTAAAAAATTGATCTATTTGATTTTTTTTTTATTTTTTTAGCACTTAATTTCGCATGTGGCACTAAAAAATGATGTGAAATTCCATGTGTAATCTCGTCCATTTCACGCACACAGACCGAAGGAGAAAAGGGCTTAAAATATTGTATTCTGATGAGTTTAAGGGTCTAGTTGGCAAAGTGATGAGTATGAAGGTTCAACTGACAAACGGAGTCAAGTAGAAGGGTCTTTTAGGTCATTCCGCCTTTAAAAAAAGATGTTTCAATTCAATGGTAATTTGACAAAAATATGAAGAAAAAGCTTCCAAATTAAAGTGATTAGGACATTACCTTTTTATTTTTTTAACAATAATGCAGCAATTTGCTAAAAAAATTATTCGCATATAAATGATTTTTTGGACTAAAAACAAAAGAATATAAATGATTGCGTCTTCTTTTAAGATCAGGTGCATAATATATATTATAGATATATATTATTCTAATTTATGTTTAGAGGAATTTACCAATTTTGATAAATGTGCAGTAAAATTTGTGAATTAAAGTTCATGCGTATTAATAAGATGAGCAATTAATCATGATTAAATATTAAAAAAACATATGTACAAATATATATCATGTATATTTTGGATTAGTGTAAACATGACGGTAAAGTTATTTTACCCTTTGCATACACTAATATATCATTAAACTATAGTTAATAAACCTTCTCAACTTAATTTATGACTTAATCATGATAAATTATTATGATTTAATGGATATACCAAAGTTTGAATTTTCAAACAATCAAAACATCAGGGGCCAAAATGTAAAACACCAAAGTTTGAATCCTAAAATTGATTAGTTACACACTGGGCCAATGAGCAGGATGAATCAACCGTTATTATTAGAAGCCCAATGGGCCAGCCAGATGATTCAAGGATTAATTACAGAAATTCCACATTTTAGTTTACTTATTACCATTATCTCCTATAAGTTTTACAAATCTCCAAAATCCCTCATTTTCACACATTAGATTAGTGTATCTCGCGCATCAGATTAATGTATCAGCGCATCAGATTAGTGTATCTCGCGCATCAGATTAATGTATCAGCGCATCAGATTAGTGTATCTCGCGCATCAGATTAATGTATCAGCGCATCAGATTAGTGTATCTCGCGCATCAGATTAATGTATCAGCGCATCAGATTAGTGTATCTCGCGCATCAGATTAATGTATCAGCGCATCAGATTAGTGTATCTCGCGCATCAGATTAATGTATCAGCGCATCAGATTAGTGTATCTCGCGCATCAGATTAATGTATCAGCGCATCAGATTAGTGTATCTCGCGCATCAGATTAATGTATCAGCGCATCAGATTAGTGTATCTCGCGCATCAGATTAATGTATCAGCGCTTATATTATTGTATCCGTTTGAGGGATTTCTGTAATTATAAACTTTTAAGGGATAGATTGTAATTTTGCCTTAAAAGTATGTGATTTCTGTAATTTGCCCATAATTCAATAATTGACCAATCGCCCAAAATAAAGAGAAAGGATGATTTGCAAGAATGACCATTTTACATCATAATGAGTGGTCTTGAACTTTTAGCTACACTTAACGTAATCTTAAAAATTAAACCTATGTGGTCCATTGGGTATAAATTAGTGATGACAGTTTTGGCAAATTTAAAGGAAGCTCATTCACGCAATTCCCCTGTCCATCGATTGATCACGCGAGTACGCATCCAGTCAATACATAGTCTCGTACGTATTCTAAATTAAAAGATTCCCGTGAGATGTGTGTCTTCATGTTTGAGACTATTTCTTCTTTTATTGCCAAGCACGCGTGTAAGTCATTTTTGGTAATGAGTCATGGTGGAGAGACTCTAACTCAAAAGATCGATGTGTAGCCAAAGGTTTAATCACGGGGTATAAAAATAAAATGTTACACCTGGGAATTAAACCTGAAGTATGAAATAACATTTTTATTTACTTAATTATATCTTGAATAATACTTAGATACCAAATGACAAGGACAGTAACACAAAGTGGAAGCATATAGGAAAGAATTAATGGTGCCAAGAAACATGTATAAAATCAACTTTATTAATTAGAAAGCTACATACACATTGTCTTCCCATAGCAAATGATGTTACAAATCTCATACAATTGGTATGAACATACTCTCAATAGCTAATCATTAGCATTAATATTGACCAAAATTTAATAGGTAATTAGCACACATTAATTAATTGCATATATATTCATAAAATGCACCACCATTGTTAAGAGTTGGCCCATCCAACTCTACTATATATATAGGTATGAAGAGGTAAGATTTTATGTCCACCTCTTCATGCAAAAAGGCGGTATTTATTGAAATAAAAACCCCATTCTAAGGTTTATTAGTATATATTAGGCGATATACTTAGCTTTATAATGATATAAAGGAAGTTAATAACGATCTTCATTTTCTCTTATTTGCATGTTGATCGCAATTAAGAAGTTCTTCAAGCACATTATCATCAAGATATTCAAGTTCAAGAACTTGTCCGGTATCATTTCTTGCATGAACATTACTTGAAGACGACGATGCCATTGATTGAGAATTGTCGTAAAAGTGAGAAGAGCTCCTAGGTAAGTTATACTCCTCAGGAAAATTAAGAATCGCCAAATGCCCTCTCATGTTATAAGCCGCCTTGTCATAAGCTCGAGCAGCTTCTTCAGCAGAGCCAAATGTCCCTAGCCAAACACGAACCCCTCCTTGTCTATTAGTATCGCGAATTTCGGCTGCATATTTCCCCCATGGCCTCTTTCGAACACCTCTATATTTCACTTCATCCATGTTATTTTGTTTTACATGCAAAATATGGTACTACAAGGTGGCTAATTTATAAAGGAAGGGATTTTTTTTTTGGCATAATAAAGAATGGTTGAGAATGATTTGAATGGAATATCTTGAGGGGCCAAATTTATTAGTTTAGCCAAAAAAAGAACCTTCTATGAGGACCAAAAAGTTAATTATAATGCAGTGTATCCAATTGGTCAAATGATGGCTATAAGACTCAAACTTTTCGTCCACCTGTTTTTTTATTAATCTGCATGTGCCAACGGTAAAAAGATTTTTTACATTATCTGATCACTTTTATCGATAAAAATTCTTAAGGTGATTTGATAATAATGTTTTTTATATTATCAAATCATTTTTATTAATAGAAATATTAAGGTGATCTGATGATAACGGTGGAGTCAAAATTATTCATTAAAAGAATTTAAAATATGAAAAAAATTAAAGAAAGTTAAATATTTGCTATATACCTAACAATAATTTTATTTATGTATAAATTGTCTGATAGTTGATGGTCAATAATGTATGAAGTAATTAATTTTTATAAATTGTGTTAACATTTGAAAAGGTGAACAAATAAATATATCATAATAATGATAAGTTGTGTTATTTCTTCTATTTATTATACCCAACATATTATATATATTTTATTTAGTAACTATTTATACATATTTAGTAAAGAAAAAACAATGAAGTGTTGTCTTGTGACACCACCTGGGACTTGGTGTATTTGTCAAAAATGTTGTAGAAAATATTTACACCGTCAAATTATTTAACTAACTCTCTCTTAATTTTGTTCTATTATGTGTGACACATTTTTCTTTTTAAGTATTCCGAATAAAATGACACATCTTTCTATATTTAAAACTTATTAATTAATCTTGAACTTCTCATTTCATTCTTTCACAACACAACAAGTTACAAAAAAAAAAAAGTTTTTACTATATTCAATCAAACAAAGTTCACATTAAATGAAGTGAATGGGGTAATTAAAGCTCAAACGAATTGGTTTGACATTGTTTAATTAACTAATATTTGATGCAAAACTAAGGTTAATTGTACATTGTATTAATGGTGAGGTCATATGCTTATGCACTCACCTCTTACGTATAGTGTAAATTTACTTCTTCTTTTTTAAATTAAAAAAAAACATTAGCCTTTTCCCCCTACAAAAAGTAAAAATAATTTTAAGTGTTATTAGGTATATATTCATTTTTAGGTATATATAGTAAAATAATGAACTCAAATATGGAAAGGTTCATTAATTAGAAGCATTTAATTTTTTTAGTGGGATTTTTTAAAGGAATGTGCATGGAATAGGATAGATTAATTAATATAAATTGTACACTAATTAATGATCAACTATTAATTAAGATTAGATTCGTTTCTATATAAGTGGAGTAGGGTGAAATAATTAATTTATAAAACTATAATGCATTTTAATAGTAATTAATAAAAGGCTTTTTCACTATACAAGGAATCCAATATATTTTATTCTTTCTCTTTACATTGAACAATTTAGTTAAGCTTGTTCCAGTGTATTAGCATAATTTATTAATTTGCTTAACTAGTAGCTAATTGATGGACGGTGCGGAGCAAGATTATAAGTTATGATTTACGTGAATTTAATATTTTTTGTTCGGACCTGGTAAATATAATAAGAAATTAATTTATTAAATATCTATAAATATATAACTATGAATTAAATTATTATTATTATTTATTAATTTGAGATGGTTGTAAAAAATTAAAAACATCTAAATCATTTAAATACGTTGTATAGATGATACGCACAAAATTTTTATCATTCTCACAATTTTCATTTAGAATTTAAATTATACGCATTAATAATCTATTAAGAACGGGGCTAGAAGTCGAGGTACCAATTCGACATATTCTCATTGAGAAGATTGAGGAATAAGTACACCTTTACAATTATTGCTTAGAGCTAATGACATATGATTTGCTTCGTCATATCAAGCATTTAAGAACAATTTGACTTTTTCCCCTTTTTTTTTATCCTACTAATATATAAAACTCCAAAATATAGGAACAAAGCATAGGTAAAGCCAAAATTTAATTTTTTTGTGTTTTAAATTCTAAAATAGTAAAGTAATGTGTTAGTTTGTATATATTTAGTGCTTGTCTTTATACAAATATAAATTTGAACTAAAATTATAAATTTGACCAAAGGTATATGTAACTTTCTTATTTTGCCTTTAAAGAAGGGTCAAAGAACGTCGATGATACGGAATGATAAAAGGTGAAAGAAGTTTATAACACTCCAATCTACTTTCAAATAATTTGAAGTAAAGATATAGACATATCTTTTGATGTTTGAAATAATTTCACTAAGTAGATGAATGCAAGTGGTCAAATGGGCAGATTAAAATGGATTGAAATAAAATAAATAAGTTCCGCTATAACCCGCCGAATAGTTGCTTGAGCGGTTGAGCCTAAATGAACGAGTTAACACACCCAATCTTTTGTTATTCTTTTATAATTTTAATTATTAAATTAGACTTATTACAAAATCTATTTATGATGACTATATCAAACAAAATCAAACTCAAGATGAAAAAAAATACTTTTTATATGTTTTCTTTTGTAGTTTAAATTGAGAAAATTGAATAAATGAAATATTTAAATGTTTTTCTTACTAGTTTTAGTTTTTTTAAAAAGAAAAATTCCTTAGTGGGCCGATTTGGGTCTCAGACCGATCCTTGAGAGGCCTTAAATCGATCCCTTAGTGGGCTGACTAGCCCATCGAGCCAAGCCCTTAGGACAACCCCTTAAATCTGGCCCTTTAATCTTTTAGCAATCTTAAGTCAGTTTAATATTGGAAAAACTACACAAATGGACCATAAACTCAAAATAATTACATGTTCATATCAAAATCCACAGTAATTCAAGAAATACCCATTCTCTCAAATAAATTATAGTTCATACCCTCATTCATTAAGGCTAATAGTTTTCACTTAACTGATACTATATCAGTATCATATATTGTATTGATATCATTAATGTTGATAATTTCGCTTAAGTGATACTAAATCAGTATTTATATACTATATTGGTATCATTAAGGTTTCTTGTTCAAAAATTACTCTTTAGTCAATGATACTATAAGAGTATATGTATATTGTTGTGGTATCATTAAAGTTTTTTGTTCAAAAATTACTCATTAGTCAGTGATACTATAAGAATATATGTATATTGTTGTGGTATCATTAAGGTTTCTTGTTCAAAAATTACTCATTAGTCAATAATATATATACACTAATTTGGTATCAATTAAGCTAATTTATCTGTCTTAATGATACCAATACAGTATATGATATTGATTTAGTATCAGTTAAGTGAAATTAGTTTGGAGGGTATATAGTGTAATTATTTATTGGGATATGAATGAAAAAGGGTATATGTTTGTAGTTATTTTATTTTAGAAGCTTAACCGACCCACTTGACAACCTTACTAAAGAAGTAACACAAAGGATTAGTTGGTCCAGAATCAAAGTTTTCAGCATCTCCAATGGGCTTTTATATGGGCTTTTTTGTTTATACATTGATCCATTCAACATTTTGTAGCTCGTTTTATAAGCCCAACATACAATTCGGAATGTGAGACTTTTTTTCATTCCTCATTTGTGGTTTGTGGCTTACACTGGAGTTTGATTAATTTAGGATCCATTCGGGAGAAGAATTTTTTATTAAGAATTTTTTTATATGTAGAGTTTGAAATTGAGATACCTAGTTAGCAGCGTCATTCGCTACAACACATTCTTTGATGGTGTTTCAATACAAGATTTACATTTACTATAAAACTATTTTAAGGTTTCTACATTATATTTCATTACATTTACCACCAAATGTGAATATAGGACTAAAATAAAATTACTGTTCACATTTGATCACACAATTCAAACAAGTAACTATTTTTTTTTCCTTTTTAAAAAATAGAATTGCCAACAAAATCAATTATTAATTATTATTTAAGGAAAAAATCGTTGCTTTTGGCTTTATACTGTTCTAATTATGTGAATTATAGATCTAGTGTTGATAAAATATTGAAAAGTTTATAAGTTCCATCTATGTTGGTAGGACTTTTCCAAAAACGTTGACGGGTGCGTGTCAAATCCTCCAAAATAGTGTATTTTTGAAGGATCTGACATGAGTACGGTATCATTTTTGGAGAGTGCAAGCAACTTAGAGTTCCATAACAATCCAAAGGGTTGTTCCTTCATATTATAGATTTGACTTTATAACTATTAATACAGTGCGTGAAATCATAGAAGATTAGAATTGTAGAAAATAAAAATAATTAGTGAGCTTTCATAATTTGTTATGTATTGTTGGGTAGAATTAATTAATATCTTAGTTGGTGGAAAATACATATATTTGTACCTAATTTGTTGGTCATCATAGAATATAAAACAAGTGAGGACTTTTGATGATAACTTTAACGTGCACTTATACTAATTCTTTTGGTCACCAAATTAATTTCACATTACAATTAATGAATTAAATTTTAGGTAAACCAAAATAATAATAATGGAATAACACAACTATAAACTCGGATTGTTTAATTTATTTATTTTTTAAAATAATGGAATGAGACAATTACAAAGTCGAGTTGTTTAACTATTATATATGATCATTGTACTTTAATTATTTACTATAACAACAACAAAAAAAAATGTAAGTAATTTCACTATTATAATGAGTAAAATTCGATTACTATAATAACAAACCAAGACTTATGAACCACAAAACTATAATTTTACGACTTTGAATGAGATATAAATTTTTAAAGAATATGGTACAATAATAAAGTTACTCTTCCCTTAAGCAGAAGTCTCGATTTTGAGATATCGAACGGGAAAACAAAAAATAGATATAAATATTTTTAAAATATAACCTTGCCAACTAAAATATTCCTCATTGGAGGACAAGACAAAAGTTAACAACTAAGTATATATTCACACTTACCTCTGCTTCACACCTTGAA